CTCACAATTTCTCTTTACGTTTCATCTAACGAAACATTACGAGTTTACGTTCAAAGAATCGACTTGCTGCAATTAACAATGCATCTTCCAGTTTACAGATGAATGATTTTTGATTTCGTCAAGTGGACGAACTGCGTTCTTGTTTTTTTTTTTTTTTTTTTTTCCTTTTTTTTTTTTTTTTTTTTTTTTTTCCAAACTTTTTTTTTTTTTTTTTTTTTTTCCTTAGAGTACAAATGCGTCTGACGTTTATGGAAGATCACTTTTAAACTATCCTGAGGAATCTCGAATCGTACTCGAACGACGTTTTCAAGGGCTCCCAAGCGCCCCCGTGGCAGCCCTTGAAAAGTATCACTGAAACGACGTCACGGTCGTCGCAGTTCCGGAAACTGACACGCGGCGACCGTCGCACGACTGCGAAATCATTCTCGATCGTTGGGAAAAAGAGCGAGAAAAACGAACGAGAAGTGGCTTCTTTCGAGGATGGAAGAAGCTTGTTTGTTAGGGCCGCGCGTACCGTGTGATGTCATCTGTTGAACAACTGATACACGCTTCAACACTTGCGCGATATATTTGTGCATATGGCGTATGGATATAGAGCGTATGGTAGTCGCCAGTGCGTCTCGAGTGATCGATCTCACGTGGAAGCGGACTGCCATGTCGGCATCGGCAGCGAGCTGACCGGCGACGCCGCGGCAACGAGGTCGACCAAGAGGACGAAAACATCCCGCCCGATCAATTATCCCGAGAGGCCTACGGATGCCCTCAACGTACAGTGATCTGTCTAGCAATAACAGATTTGGCGGGACAAAGAACCAAAATCACGACCCATTAACCCTTTCGATGCTCAATGTTACGAGTTTTTAATAAACGAGTTAAAAATTTGCAAGTTCGAACAAGGCTGAACAAAGAACGTACAATAAATCGTGAATACATTTATCTTTGAATATATATATTTCTTGATATATTTGATCGGTATGTTGTAATGTGCTGTTTGAACCTCCAATAAGTGAATCAATTATTTTATTACCGATTGTACGATTATTTGTACAATATTCTAGCACCGACTCACTTAATCAGTCTTTCTTAATTAAGATCTCGGAGATTGAAACTTTTTCTTTTACAATCTTAAAACTCTTCAAGTTTGTACACTGGGTTTGGACGATAAAATGTTCAATTTTTATCGATCTTAAGGGGTGAAGGTTTTTGAGATTGGTTAAAAGGCCAATTAGCAATTTTATGAATTTAATCACGTGTTTTTTTAAAGAAACAGTAAATAATTTCATTTAACTGATATGATTTATGTATCGTTTGCGACTTTCTCATCCCGCTAGATCACTGAAATAGCTCACTGTGCAAACCGGCCATCGCATCAGTTCGTTTTCACACACCGAACGACGTAACATGCGACGCTGCCCCGTTGCTCCTTTCCTTTTTCTTCTCCTTCTTCTTCCACTTCATCTTCTTCTCCTTTTTTCTTCTTTTTTCAGACGACCGTACTATACGCTCCGGCAATCGGACAGTCAATTTTAAAGACGCAGGAACTTCCTCAACACGCGAGCTAACGATCGTACGGTCTATCACGATCACACGTTTTTTCGATAAATATAGAAGGACCTGCTCCAAAAATTGTACTAGCGGCTCCACTTTTGAATAAATTTGGATGAATTTTGATAAACCGACGAAGAAAAAGCAATTAAATAATAATTTCAAACGTGCTATAAATTGGTGGCCAACTAATGTTTATGCTAATAAACTTGGAGCTAACTCTTTTCTTGCATTAAGTGATACTTTTTTTTTTTTAATGAAATAGGACATATAACAAAAAATGTGTAAAAAAAACGAAGCTACTTATTTCTTGCTACAAACCCTTCAATTTCCTATCGTTTGTTTCGTGAGAATTAACAGAGATGTGCCAGCTGTTTAATGATTTAAGAGAGAACGCTTGTTGATGTAGTAAAATTGTAGAGTACAGAGGGCGATGAATAGTATAATAACCTTCCAATAGAATTTTCGTCGTTCAAATTGTAATTTAATATATTGATATAAAATATATTCGGTAAGATATATACGTTAGATGTATGATAAATCAGGTAATGACGAACATTATGTGTATTAAAAAACACTCTTTTTATAATAGTGCTAATAGCTCAGCTAATTTTTATTTTACTATATATACATGTTGAAATATAATAATCACTAGGAACCGGATTTTTAAATTTTTATGAACATCGTCAATGTAACAGAAACTAAGAAATAGAATCTAAAAAAATTTATTTTATCTATCATATATTATAATATATTTTACTTTGAATATTTCATATAGATATTTTTGTATATTATATACAATCTGTATACATTTTGCAACTTCAAATTTTCCATGAATGCATAGAGTTCGCATCCTGGTAATCACAACATATAGATATACTATTTTATAGTAATTTTCCGATATAGTTTTATTGCCTTAATGGTTGTGTTTTACTATATATACATCCTTCTAATGATTATTATAATTTACCATATCGATGTAAGATAATGAGTGTAATCGGTTACAAGAACGTTCAAGAGTTATGCTATAGTATGGTATGCCGTTTCTACATCTCTATGGTATTGAGTATAGTTCTCTGTGATATTGAGTTTTGCTATATATATAAGGAAATATACTGCACTGTGTCAATGTACCATGAATGAAAAAGTTTAGAAGAACGATGTATTAAATTATTTTATAGTATTATATAGTATGGTATATAGACCATATATATCTATGTACTATACATCATACTATATAGCGCTGTAATATAATGCTATAGCAAGGCGGTGTTATTCGATATAATAAATAACTATAATGAACTGTAAAACTACAATGAGTAATAAGATAAGAAGTATGTGCTTGTACTTTAACTTAAAATATTTCAAACATTTACAACATCGACTTATAAATTTTATTTCTATTGTCAAATAATTACTTACGGGAATAATCGTTACTTTGTATCAATTTTTCTATAATTTTTCTATTTTAATTTCTATTTTAATTTCTGTATCTGAACTGGAACGCAAGACTGTATTCTGCATCTTGTAATACAAGAGAACTGAGAGAAAACTTTCTAAAAACTTTTCAACATTCGTACCATACGCAAAATGAATTTTATATCTCAAAAAATGATATTCTAAGACCAAGAAAGACATAAATAGTTATAATACTTCTTGTAATAAATACGGAAATGAAAATTTGAAAATTCTAACGATTATTCTACCCTGTGTGTATGTAATGTCATCTATCCTCTAGAAGTACATGCGTATCAAACATTAAAGCTGTTATTAGTACTCCAATTTTCAACAACATACGTATATATATATATATATATATATATATATATATATATATATATATATATATATATATATATATATATATATATATATA